ATAATCTGCCGGCATGCTCGTCGGTGATCGATGGCCCGGGCTTGATTCCGCTATGCGGAGGTAATCACAGGCGGGCATCGCACGTGGCGAAATCACCGTTCGTGTCGTTTCTTGACATGCAGCAATCGCGCTTCTTTTTCCACTGCCACTGACTTTTCTTCTACCACGTGCCTGGAAGTGGCTCGTGATGCTGGAGGGCGCCTGGTACCACTTCGCAATGAAGGCACGCCTTCTTTTGGCGCTTTCGTATGATGTCCTTCATTATGGTTGCGTGTTGTAATCGGCTGCTGACTAAAAACGGAGCTTGTTCGGTTTCAAATTAGCGTTTGTCATGTCAGTCACGTGATCTGCATTAGTAATAGACACGTAAGACGGACAAGGTCGGGCGCTCTATAGATGGCTGGTATGCGGGACGGGTATTCTGGCCACGGAAAGGTTGTTTGTGGCGGCTCGTTTATTTCAAGGCATGTGGCCCGTGACCGTTTTGGCCTTCTGTATTTTGTGTGTGCCGCATTCAGGAGAAGTAGCGCAGTGCTGTGCGGCGAAATTTCAACGTCTTGCTCGTTGTAGGCATTTCACGTTCAACACTGGTATGTAGGGAAATCGATTTTAAAGTCCAGCTGATTCTTTTTTCCCGCATAATTGGATGCGTTGCGAAAGCCGCTGAGTCGGCTCATGAAGGCTTACGCGATATATTTTTTAATCCATCGAACTGTCTCAGTTTTGTTGTTGAGCCCCATCGTGTTTAACATTCTGTACAGTTAAACTGACGCTGTCATGCAGCATTTTAAGTCGTAGGTTTCTTCTGCTCAGACCGTAACGTGTGTGTAAATCGGGATAAGATTGGGGAAAAACGGTTAATTGTACATCAGCTGTCCAGTAGACAGGTTTCGACATCGGTTTTCCTGGCGCCTTGCAGAACTACAGTATTATCGCCCAGGTTTCCACCCGATAAAAGTTCACTCCTGTTATCTTGAGCTGAGCGTAGCGCGTGTGTGACCTTAACGAGCTAATGGACGACGAAAAACGACTGATCATGGCGGCGATTTTCCGCCCGGCCGGTGACAGTGGGACGGGCGACCTTCCGCACCGCTGCGTCCAGTCACCAATCGCTGGATCGCAGGAGCGCGCGGACCGGGCGGGGAGGGCGCGCCGCCGCCGGATAAAGTGCGCGCGCCGTGCTGGCCAGCGAGGAAGTGGCATGGGCGCCCGGGGTTGCTGCAGTCAAGGGCGAAAGCGGCGCGTGCGTTCGAAAGCAGGAGACGCACCCTGTATGACGGAGGCGCGCGGCCGTTATCGACTGAAGAGTCTTATTGCGCTGGGATTGGTTTGGGATTGAAAGGCCTGGGATTGGGCTCCCGGCCGCCGCTTAGGTCAGGGGTGACATGAGCCGGCGTAACAGGCTCCCCACCTCATGCCCAGCGGCATAGTGCTGCAAAATTAGATGCTGGACTGATAGAAGTAAAAATAACAAAACTGGTCTGTGTTCGCTCCAGGTTCAATTTTCTACAGGCCAACTTCTGTGTAGGCTTAACCAACTTCGCTTTCGAAGCTGGAAGGGCCAATTAAGGGGTGAAGTTGGTGATAGTGCATCGCGTGCTCTATCTGTCCCCAAGCGTGTCGTTAGTTTGTGGTCAACTGCTTAGTTGATGAAAGGGGTTGGAGCGGCTCCAACGGAACACCAGCCACACCGCTGCTCACACCGCCCTCTCTGTCCGCCTCAGGCATCGACGACGGTGCCGACGTCGACCCGCAGCTGCTGGCCGGCGTGTACGAGCGCGTGCGCGCGCAGGAGTTCCGCGCCGGCGCCGACCACGTGACGCCCGTTCTCAAGGTGCAGCAGACCACCATAGGCAAGAAGCCGGTGAGTGAGGCGGCGTGGCGGCCCCGCAGCACGCCCGGCGGCCGGCGGAACCCGCGCCGCCGGCAGCACCGGCTTGGCTTCGGGGCCACGGTCGGGTGTTGATGTCGTGGGCGGTGTTTGTTTGCTGGTGCTGGCTGTAGCTCGATCCTGCGGCTGTCGGTGGCCGTCAGCCCGCCTATTCATTGAGTATGTTTGCCCAAATAGCTTACCAGGTCAGTCGTTCAAAAGTTTATTAGTCACGGAATGCGTTTTGACGGGAAAGGTTACTCTACTGTGTGCACTTGTGGAAAGTTCTTAGTAAAGGACAGTGACGTTTTGTGTCGTGGGGTGTTAACTGGTCGTGTTGGTGATCACTGGCTTAGTTGTCTGCCAATGTTGTCAATTTTTTCACGGGTGCGCGCCGCTCATAGACGGTGCTGACACCTGTGGGCGGGTTTTCAGCCTCTTGCTTTGCCACACCGCCGCCTGGTGTGCTACTGTCGCCTGTACGAGGTGCCGGACGTCTCCAAGAGGGAGCGGCCCGGCGTGCACCAGCGCGAGGTGTTCCTCTTCAACGACCTGATGCTCGTCACCAAGATCTTCAGCAAGAAGAAGAACGCCATGACGTACTCGTGTCGGCAGAACCTGCCGCTGGCGGGGCTCTCTGTGTCAGCCTTCGACCTGCCTTGTGAGTGTCGGCGTGCGCGCGGACCCGGGCGGCGGGCGCGACCGCGTCCGGCGTCAGGGGCCCGGCGGCGCGAAGCTCGGGGGTGTGGCAGGGGGAGCGCAGGGGCCGGCGAGCCACGCTGATGGAGGGCCCCAAACCAGCCGTCAGTGACCTGTGGCCTTACAGTGGCCTGATGCCAGTGACTGGCCTGAGCAGGCAGCGCCCGGGTCGCTTGGCATGGCATCTCCTTAGAGCGAGCCGCCGGCCGGCTGCGTGTCCCAGTCCCCTCCGCTACCTCCATGTCCAGGCCTCGTCGCTGGAGCGTCGGCCTCCGCTGACCTTGTCAACCTCCGCTGACCTGATCGTCGACCTCCACCGCAGATTACCCGTACGGCATCCGGCTCTCGCAGCGCGTCGACGGCAAGGTGCTGCTCACGTTCAACGCGCGCAACGAGCACGACCGCACCAAGTTCTGCGAGGACCTGCGAGAGAGCATCCTCGAGATGGACGAGATGGAGGCGCTGCGCATCGACGCTGGCCTCGGCCGCCAGAAGACCAACGGCGTCCGCAACAGGTCAGACACGGGCGCGACCGGCGCCGGACCGGGCTGTCTCGTAGCGGTCTTCATCTAGCGATCGGACTAGTTCTAGTTTGTTGTGATTCAGTCATCTATTCCACAGCTGTTTTTTAACAGTGTGTGTACGTGGGTCAGTTGGATTTGCCCATTCGGAGCTGTTGTGGGAGGGTTGCTGTGGTGTCGGTCGGAGCCGGCCGCGGGGCTGGTCGCGCTGGTGGCTGTCGCGAACTCCCGTTCGCCGCGCTCCGGTCGGTGCGAGGCCACCGCCTGGGTTTCGGGCGCCGGGCCGGCCTGACCAGACGCGCGCCTGTTGCAGCCGGTCGGCGGAGAACCGCGACTCCGGCGTGGCCGACGTGGAGGAGGTGTCGGACGGCTCGTCCAAGTCGTCGTCCGGCCTGAAGCGGTCGGCGCTCTCCAACTCGCTGCTGGACATGACGGAGGCCGGCGGCCGGCCGCAGCGGCGCGGCAGCGTCGGCTCGCTCGACTCGGGCATGTCGGTCAGCTTCCAGTCCAACAGCACGGCCTCGGCGCAGACGGGCAGCCCGCCGACGGCGCCGGCCGGCCAGCACCGTCAGCGGCGCGCGCAGCGGCGCCACTGACGGCCGCCGCCGCCGCCGCCGCGGGCCGCGCCGGACCCGCCCACCCGGCGGCGCTGGTAGTCCCCGTCCGGCAGGCAGCCGAGCGCAGCTGCGAAGTCATCGTGCCCGCATATCGCCCCCGTCGCGGTCGCGACGCGGGTTCATCGGCGTGGACGCACCCGCCGCATCTCCATCGACGCCCGCCCATTGTAGTATCCTGACTCCCCGCACCCAGTTAGCACATGTAGACCGCGGGCCGCATCCGGTCGGCTCATCTGTTTTCGTCTGACCACGGGGTCACCCAGGGCGGGGGCTGGTCGCGCCTCTGCGTCGGCCGAGACCCGACCACGCGGACTCGCCGCCCTGCCTGATGACCTGACCAAGGGCCGGGCGGGCCCGCCGTTGTGTTGCGTGAGCGTCGTTTGTATGCAGTCAACTAACCATTATCTAGTCGGAGCGCGTGCCTGATCGTGCGCTAGTCTTCTGAAAGGGAGAAATAACTATGTAAATATTGGCGAGCCGGAGGCGGCGCGGCTTTGCATGGCTGCAGACCGTTTGATATGTATTCAGTATATGTGATGTCGTGTGGTGACGAGGCGTGCGCCTTATTTTGAGACCAATATATGTGGATTGTATGGCTTCCGTTCTGTTCTGCGCGGGCGCGATATAGCCTTTGCTGAGAACCCACGAAGGACTTCAATAGCGTGTATTGCCATGCAATTACCAGCCAGCAGTAAGACGGACGACGCGCACATACGACGCGGCGCCCGGTGGAGCGCCGTCTCCGTTGAGAGCCAGTGCGATGGGATCTGTAATGCTTCGGAGGCATCTACGACGGCGAGATGGGTGGAACTGGATGTCCTATTGCGATACCAGCGGGGCTGAACGATTGTAAAGCGTTGAAATGCGGGCCCAAGCGAGCATTGATATAACCTCCACTTGGGTGATCAGATGAACTAAGCCCATGGTAACGTCTGGTTGAAACAGCTAGCCACGAAAATATTTGTAGCGGACTTTGGCAGGCGGGCTTTGGCTCGCGGGCTTTGGCTTACGGGCTCTGGCATGACACATCTAGCGCAATTTCGGCGCGGACATTCGACCGGGCGACCGGCCGATTCCGGACAAGCCTAGTTCTAACAGCTCTCGCCACCCCGCCCGGCTACCAGCGACTCCAAATAAGGGAGGACCATCACAACCACACAGCGCGTACGACACTACTCCAGCGTAAGGCAGGTCGCAACAACCGGGTCTGGGCTAGATCCAGATCGTCGGCCGCGGCGACCCCCACCACTCCACAGCCAGGCGACGCAGGCCTCCACTCGGCAGGAGGCCCTGCACCCCGCGAGCGTGGCGCCCTCCCACCACTAAACCTCCGCCGTCGGCCGCCTCCCTGCCCGCGCGGCTGGAGCCGCCCGCTCCCCAGCGTTTCCCGCCAGCCGACGCGGCTTCCCCAGCTCTCGCTCCGGACTGCAGTGGTGCCCCGGGCCGACGGACGGCCGCGCCGGTCTCGCCACGCCGCCGCTACAGGTCCTTGTACCAGAACAGCACGTGCTCGTCCTCGTTCGGGTACAGGTTGTCCACCCCTGGAACACAGGCGGGCGCCGTGTGGGTGCGACAGAGAACGGTTCAAGCCGCCGTGTGTGCACTTCACCATCAGCTCTTTTGATGATTGACACCGGCCTCTAGCAAATACAAGTCCAATAGACCCCACCTGGTCTTTGAAAAACTTAATACCCTTTGCAGACGCAACACAATCAAACCTTTCAAAACGAGCACGACGCTTGCCTAAAGCGACCTGTGCGCAGCCCGAGCCTCGCAGCGCCGGTCTGACGCCGGTCAGCGTCTCTGGCCACGCAGCACAGCGGAACACCTCGGCGCGCGGCCCGCACCTGCCGTGAACAGCTGGCGGCCAGTGGGCGGGCGGGCCGGGTCAGGCCGGCCGGCCAGCCGGTACAGCAGCCAAAAGTGGTAGCCGTCCGCCCGTTCGTGTCGGCCGGCGATCGTGTGCACGTAGTGTCCGTTCGGCCAGGCCTCCGCCGAAAACCTGCGCGCGCAGTGGGAGGTGGGACTCGTGCGCGGAAGCTGACCAGCGAGACGGAGAGGGGTGCGGGACGCGTGGCGTTGGTCAGCCGTCAGTTATGGGGTGACGTCCTCTGTGTAGCGAGTACGCTCGCTGGATGCTTCAAGTAGGTCGGTCGGCCCTTCATCAGTAATGCTCACTATTTCAGGAGCATTGTGATGTGCTTGGGCTTGGGAAGTTGATTGCTACTCGCAGGCTTGAATGACAGCTATAGACCGAACCTAAATCACATTCTAACTGGCATGAGAACACTTAATGATTCAGACACATCGGGGGTCCCCCTAGTTCAGCACGGCCTGAAATACACCAACCGGCTAGTGCGCTACAAGCGCAAAAGAAGCACCACCGGTCATGCAACACCTAAACAGTCTAACAACTCCATCCACCGTTGGAGGCCGTGAAATCCGCAGGGATGGCGATTTGTGAGCTGAGAGCTCTGAGCTGTGTGGGTGGGCCACAGACCAACACCACGCCAGACCAGACCAGCAACGCTGGTCAGGCCGCGCTGGCCTCTCACTGGAATCGGCTGTCGCGCTCGGCCGCCAGCTTCATGCAGTCGAACAGGCTGGTGTTCTCGGGCACGGCGAGGCGGCAGCTGAAGCTCTGGCTCACATCCACGCCGATCCACAGCCACAGCGTGACGTTCATCAGCCGCGGTGCCGACGCCAGGCTCGAGTTCACAGACCGGTCGATAGATGGCAGTTCTTTTGCCGGTCTCGGTTCGTGTTCTGTGAAGTTGAAAACTCCAGGACAAAGGCCCATTCGTTTACACACTCAATAAATCGACAATGCACGATGCACATGCGTCCTAGGTGATTTGAGTTAGGCACTAGAAACACACATTCGAAGAGCAAAGATAACTGAGACTACGCTCCATCCGAAGCTACCTGAACGCAACTTGGTTGTCTCCAGAAACGCGTCGTCTATTTTCTTATTAATAACATGTCGATTGTCATACGGCGCATGCAACTAATAGGGATAATTGCATCCCAGACCGCATTGCTGATTTTAGCTATCGCATCTGTAGCAATGCCACCGCAGTGACCTCTCTCGCTGTGAGCAGCCACGCCAGGCTCACCGTCAGCGCCAGCCAAAGCCGCTGCGTCTCCGCGCTGGCGGTGGCAGGGCAGGTCAGCCACGGCCAGCAGCGAGCGGCCGGCCAGCGTCGGCAGCACCTCGGCAGTGTCGCGAACGTCACCGAACGAGCCGTCGCTCTGCTGGCGCGACAGCAGGTACGAGACGGCGCGCGCCCAGCTCCAGCCGGCCGCCACGCCCTCCGAGCGCAGCGCCTGGCGACGCCGCGGCCGCGGAGGCGGGTCAGTCGGGCCGATCACTGCGGAGCATGCCAGCCGCGGCGGCCGACGCTGCACCTCACCCCTCACGGCACGACGAAAACCAACAGACTAATACGACATCTAACACTCTTCTCCACGATCCCCCTCCCGCTCCCTCTCTTGCGTGCTAACCAGATCCCCATGTCATTAACGTTCTCTGGCTAGGCCTCTCCGCACCAAGCTCTCCGCCGACCTGGATCGCCAGCAAGGTGGAGTGGAAGTTGCCGAAGCTGCCGTCCGCCTCCTGCCTGGCCACCAGCGTCGCCAGAGGCGTCCCCAGGTGCCTGTCCACGTGTTTGTTCTCGTCGTCGGCCACGCAGCGCAGTGCCAGCACCGACAGAGCCAGCGTATCTGGCCGGGAGTGGGATGGTCAGCATGCGTCCGATGGATGATTAGTGCCCACTCTCAACTGTGCCTCTCCGCCCCAGACAGGTTATCACAGGTGACAGCAGGGTCGCAGGGCACACGTCTCTGTCATGCAGGGTACACCGGGTGCTGAAGAGATAGAGCCTTAGACACCTTAGATAGATAGATAGAGATAGAGACTCTTATATAGACTCCAGACATCCCCTCCCTCAACTTCAGAACTAAACATCAATTAAGGCAAGCACAACAACTCCCACCGTTTCGGACGACACTCCTCTGACGCTTCACTCGCCGCAAGTTACGCGCGACCGCCGCCAAATCCCAGCGCCGCAGCGGTCTGACCTGTGCCGTGCAGGCTGCCGCTGGCGCTGGTGATCGCCAGCAGGCGGCCGAAGCTGCGGCGGCGGACGGGCGCGCCGGCGGCGCACGTCGCCAGCACAACCAGCGCTGACTCGTAGTCGAGCGGGTCCCGCTGGTGCTGCAGCACCGCTGCGGGGGCCCGATCAAGGTCAGGTCAAGGTCACAGGAGATCACGGCGCTAGTGCTGCAGCACCGCTGTGGTGGCCGGGTCAAGGCCAGATCAAGGTCACTAAAGATCACGGCGTTGGTACTGCCGCACCGCTGCGGCGGCCGGGTCAAGGTCAGGTCAAGGCCACTGGAGAGCACGTTGCTGGTGTTGCGGCACCGCTGCGGCGGCCGAGACCGGTTAGGTCAAGGTCACAGAAGCTGAAGGTGCTGGTGCTGCAGGGCCGCTGCGGCGGCCGGGTCAAGGCCAGGTCAGGGTCACTAGAGATCATGGCGCTGGTGCCGCAGCACTGCTCCGGCGGCCGGGTCAAGGTCAGGTCAGGGTCACTGGAGATCACGGCGCTAGTGCTGCAGCACCGCTCCGGCAGATGTGAGCAGTTCAAGGTCACGACCGGCTCCGCTGCTGGTACCGCAGGGCCGTTGCAGTAGCGGAGGTCAGGGCAGGTCCAGGTCACGACAGACTTCTCTGCTGGCTGGTGCGGGCGGCATTTGAAACGTCAACACAGCGGTTGGAGATACCGACCCCGGCCGGGAGACCGACATTTCAAACTGTTGTGACGTCATAGGCAAGGGACGTGGCAAGCAGCGGCTGAGACAATTAATGTGCGCACCATTTGTCGTCCGAGTATCTGAGAAACTATTTTTGTCCGCAGCTTAAGCCGGACTGAGATCCGCTCCTTCCCTCAGTCCAGCCGCTGGCCGTGACATTTCGGAGTTACGACCAGCGGGCTGCAGGCCAAATGAGTCGTTACCTCGACCCGGCTCGGACCCGGAGCGACCGGCCTCCGAACGGCCCCCGAGAGAGCTCAGCCGGCTGAACGCGATAGCCGCATCACGTCGAGATCGGGCTCAATGGGAGCAGATAGCTCCCCCAGCGGCCCCAAATGGCCGACATTTGAACGCAAATGGCACATCCGCAGATGACAGGACACGAAACACGAAGCCGGCTTCCGTCGTCATGCATGCATTCTAACCCACATGCGAAATAAGAACAAAACTAAAAACACGATATCACACCAGGACTAGCGTCTGCAGCCCGAGCAGAGCTGGTGACGTCTGGGGGAGGTCAGGACGCGGCCGCCACCGCCAGGCGCGCTCCTCACCGGTCAGGTCCCGGCCGTGGAAGTGGCGCACGTCGCCGCAGAGGCTGACCAGCGCCAGCAGGTACTCGGCCAGCCGCGCCGCCGTCAGCGGGTAGTCGTGGTGTCTGCGGCACCGGCGCCGACCGCCGTCATGTTCGAGCGGTGCTGTCAGGGGCTAGTGCGTGTGATGCCGCGAGCTCAGTGCGCTCCCAGCCTAACTCGGATGACATTTAAAGGCACTTGTATGATGCGTGTTGACGTAGAACTCACACTGCGTCCCTCGAAGGTTATTCCAGAACTTGCAGAGCAAGCCACAAATGCGTGCCTTGAACACATTGAACATATTTTACTTTATTTAAAACATATTTTAATGTTTTCGTTGCAGCGTTAGCCGGAGCTGTCAGCACCACCGCAGACTGTCTGTTGGCGTGATCTTTCAGAGGTCTTCAGAGCACAGGGAGCCTTCGCCGGGGCGTTGGTTTCCCTAGCGCCCACCTCCACAAGTCGGCCAGGGCGTTGATCTCCAGCTGCTGGCGGGTCAGCTGCCGGTCCGGTCCGGCCAGCGCGGAGTCGTTGACGAGAGCGGCGGCCATGACGGCGCGGGCGGTGTCGACCCCCCAGCCGCGGTCCGGCTCCTGCTGGCCCATCAGCCAGCGCAGTCCGGAGGAGGCCGCCGCCGCCGCCGCCGCCGGCACCTCCGCCGGCTCCTCTGCGACGGTGAGTCAATGTGAGGTCGTTGCAGAACCGTCGTCTGTTGTCTGGTCCTTTCCGCGACGTTACGCCGTTTGCACGTCATCACACCCCGACAGACATGGAGCCGACTCAGCTGTCTGCAGGGCGAGCGTTACGGCGCTGCCCCGGCTCCCCCGCCCCCCCCCCCCCCTCCGCCAGAGCCCCGCAGAGCCTCGCCGTTCGGTCTGACGCGGGTCCCTGCGCGACACGCCTTGGGTCCGCGGTGATGACTGTGGCATCGACGCACTGCCCGCCTCTCAATAGTCTGTATTCATGTCTCCAAAGTAGTCCGTGTAAACTGAAGGGGCCCAACACGGTACGAACACAAGCGAGCAGGATGCGTTCCAGGGTGGCCATTTACTGCAATATTTTAACAGGTTAATCTAAGGTAGCGGAAGTATATTTGTGTCATTAGCGTTGTGTACAGGATGTCACGAAACTGCTTTTTGGCAGCTGTTCTTTAATGTTACTTTTTGTTAATGTTACTTTTTCCAGCCTGTGTATTCTCGGTGAAGGGTCGTCTGAGAATGAAGAATGCGTTATTAGGGTCTGTACCATGCGGCGAACTTTGAACGCTACGCATATACCCCATATTGAATATTCGAAAATGCCTTACCACCGTTCGCGTTCATCGGAAATGCATAGCCCCAGTTTCTAAAGGCCGCCGGCTCGGGCTCAGGTTGTTTTAATGATTCTCTGAGGGTCTCACGAAGCCGGTGGCGCAGTTGTGCCTCATTATCACGGAGCGTTCTCCTGCGCCTGCATTAGTTGTCTAAGCTTGGTGCTGACTCATGCTTTCCCCAGTGTCGCTAGCATGACAGCGACCTCGGCCGCACACTCAACTCTGTCATCGTCGTGGATTCCAGCCGTTTTCTGCGGGTGCGTCAGTCAGGCGCCGGGTCTAAGTGAGTCTGTCCTCTCGGTCATCTACCATTCCAGCGGGTCCCGATGAGTTCACTGGCCCCGTGCGAGGTCAGCAAATAACTGCCCATTAGCGCTCCCCCCCCCCAAAAAAAACACCTAATTTCCTTTCGTGAGCGAATTACAAGCACCTGCGGGACATTATGGGGACTAGGACAACGTCCCACCCCGCCCCGTGGGGAAGGGCGCGGCCGCCGGTCGCCTGGCGCCAGTTGGTCGCGTGCAACACACACACCAGCCGCCACTAAAACGTGGGTCGCCGCCGACCACGCCGGCTTCAATCGATAGGCTTGCAAGCTATTGCCTCCGTAATGTCGAGGCACCTTGCGTAGCCGCGACCTAACATGGGCGCCTTCTTCTGTTCGTAAGCGAGTTGCAAAGCTATAGACCGACTACCCAGACCCACAAAGAATGAACTCAGCAACGATCAAGCTTCCCGATGGCGTACTAGTTTTGACGTATTTGGCGTATTCGTTGGACTATAGCTTTGCCCTTGCCATGACGCAAGCCTCATTCATGTGACAGTTCGTGCCCGATGTGCTGCATTCACTGATCCGGCATGGCGTCATACATGTGGCAGACTTAAACGGACTCGACTCATGTGTGCTGACAGTCGGGGATATTAGATTTCCGTGACGCTCTCGCGTTGCGCTTTTACGAGACGACACCCGCAGCGTGCGGCTGTTCTAGATGTGTCTCTGGCAGGTTTAATGATCCGGGCTTGGCAGGCAGGCTGGCAGGGCCGCAGGCAGGTGACGCTGCTTCCGTGTCTCGTTGGGACTCACCAATAGCTATATTTACGGCTTCGTCAAATAAGGTGTTATCAAAGTAGCATAAATCCTTCGAGGATATCCCGCAGCATTGAATGATATCATCATTCACAAAGGCCATAACGCAGCATGTGTATCTTGTCATTTGATGATCGTCAGAGTTGGTGCTTAGCTGTCAAGCTGAGAGACGCAGATGACACCACCTCATGCTGCGGCCCTCCAGAACCAAAACTGAGACCCGGTGCCGGTGCAGGCTGGCGCCGCCCTTAACGTCCGCCAGTCCGACCAGTCCGCGGGCGGCTGGGCGCGGATGCGGGATCAATATTGAACGTCAGCCATGCGAAGTGAAGCGCCGGGAGTCTCCGCCACCACCGCCGCTCGTCCGGGCCGGCTCCTCTCGGGCTGACCGGTCCTAACGAGCTCAGAGGCGGCGGGAGCGGGCCTCGCGAGACGCCGGGAGTCTCCGCCACCGCCGCCGCTCGTCCGGGCCGGCTCCTCTCGGGCTGACCGGTCCTAACGAGCTCAGGGGCGGCGGGCTCGTCCGGGTCGGCTCCTCTCGGGCTGACCGGTCCTAACGAGTTCAGGGGCGGCGGGAGCCGGGGCCTCGCGGGACGCCGGGAGTCTCCGCCGCCGCCGCCGCTCGTCCGGGCCGGCTCCTCTCGGGCTGACCGGTCCTAACGAGCTCAGAGGCGGCGGGAGCCGGGGCCTCGCGGGACGCCTGGAGTCTCCGCCGCCGCTGCCGCCGCTCATCTGGGCCGGCTCCTCTCGGGCTGACCGGTCCTAACGAGCTCAGGGGCGGCGGGAGCCGGGGCCTCGCGGGACGCCGGGAGAGGCAGGTAGGTTTCCGGGACAGCCGAGCGGCACTTACCAGCACGTCTGGCGTCATTTACCTTGTTTAAAAGATGATGCCAGGCAGGCGAGGCTGAGCAGAATCACCAGCTTCATGGCGCCGGCCCTCTGGGAACGGTCGACAGCGACAAAGGCGAAATCAGAACAAGCTGCAGGCTGTAAAACAGGGCACGTTCGGCAGTAGGTGAAGCATCGCAGAATAAGTGAGTGGAACTGAGCACGAATAGGTGTTCCCTGCATTTGAAATGCAATCGAATCCAGCCGCTGCCCGGGGCTACAAGGGTTCGCCCCATACAACACAAAATACGGCCCCTGCATAGCCGAACTGAAATGTCGGCCGGTTTCTTTAACGTCTCAGTAACCGCCATTAGTGCATAATTGACAGGTCAAATGAGTATCTAACTTTGCAGGGCTTTACAAGGCGTGACACCCAGCCCTTGAAATGAACTTGACAATATCGCGCGATACAGCGTTTACGTGCATTTCACTTCCTATCATCCTGTCATTTCGCACTGGATCGTACGTAACGGAGGCCACTGTGCCACCGCACGGAAGGCACAGCCTCTCCCTAGTCTGCTAAAACACGCCGTCCCCCGGTGACTCGGAGGAGCGTAATCCGACGTGTTCCGGCTCACCTCGCCCCGCCGGTCAGCTGCGGCTGTCACGGGTCTGAAGGTACGCTGACTGGGACCGGAGCCGGGCGGGGGGCGGGACAGGGCGCAGGCCCGCGCACCGCCGCGTCCTCCGTGATCTGCCGGTCCACTCACCGTGTCGGTGTCCGGGTGACGACGCGAGCAGGACGCCGACCTTGCCCCGGTGGGCTGACGACACGAGGCCGCACCCGGCGCGCCGCCGACCCTGACCCGCGGAGAGGTCACGTCACCCGGCCGGAGAGCCGCGCCGAGGTCGCCCGGCAGGTCGCAGCGGCCCCGTCGAGGTCAAGCCGCCCCGCCCGGCCGACCGCCGCCCTGTCCGCCCGGCCCGCGCCGCCGCCCGCCTGTGACCGGCCGCGCTGGTCGATCCGGCTGCCCCTCCCTCCCCGCGCCCGCCGGGCCGGCGCGCCGAGGCGGCTCGGGCCGGCGGCGCCGGCAGCTGCCGCAGGTCACCGGGCGCCGCGGCGCCGACAGCCGCTCCGACTTAGAGGCCAGGTTCAGCCATGTCTCCATGGCAGGTCGCCGGCCGACGTCAGGCTAGCCCGCGGGATTTCACCCACGCTTCAAAACGCATTGGCATTGACGGTCAATGCCAGGGTGAAGGTGATGTCGGTCAATATCGAGGTCATTATTCCGAACTGCTCGGCCGCGCCAGGAGAAAGCAGGCGATCATCTCATGCTTAGATGTATTTGCACAAAAGCTCCCCGGACGGTGAGCGGATGGGGCCCAAAAAAGGCGTGGTCAGTGATATACCTGCAAGTCCAAGGAAGAGCCCAAAACATGCAGCTGCAGATGTTGGCCAATCCCATGCGAGCACTTGGCTATATTCAGAGCTACAGACATGACTAAAACACCGACTCCAAAGAACCCTTCTGAGCGCCAAGTATAAAGTGTAGGCACGCGGCAGGCGAGAGCGGCGCACGAGGTTTGTCGAAAGAGGGACATCAGCGACACCCAAATCCAACAAATCCAGCGCGTCTAAATGTCTCGCTGGGAGCAGACGATATCACTTTTGCGAAAGGCCGTGTCAAATGCTGAGACCAATCGCCGGCTGGCACAGCCAGGAGCAGCTAACTTTCTGCATATGGACAGGGCACGGCCAGCACTGGAAAGAGCACACACTGAAGTCTGTGCCAATCAAGCTGCTTGACCGACAGTTACAAAGTAAGACGCGCCCCAGATATATCTAACGGAAGGATATGGCAGAAAGTTAAAAATGCGTTGCATCAAAACGCGGTAAAAGATAAGACCGAATAGGGTGTTGACGAACAGCGATGAACAATGCTTTGTTACCAGCTGACTTTGGCTGAGTTGAAACTGAAAACGCCCAGCTTCAGCAAAACAACATGGCTTGCACATTACTACGGTAAATGATGAATGGGCCAGGAAGGTACAAAATATTTAGGGGGTGTGATAGCTCACGATCAGATGTGCAGAACGGTTGAGTCAACAACTTCCCTGATGCCATAAAACGTCGTTGTACATTTTGAAGAGCACAACAATGTCAGCTATCGCAACATTGTACACGCTCAAGCACAAACAAATTCTCGCAATTGCACACAGCAATGCAGCCTCCTTAACACCACCTCAACTGAAACAGAAATGCACGTGATCTGAGTATAAAAATACAGCAACAACCACACCTAGCTACGGCCTAAAACAATTCAAAAACGGCCGGTTCTTTCCGGGCTCCCATAGCCGGCCAAAGCACAGCCCCGCTCGCTGACAGCCTACGACGACCCCGCTCCCACCAGCGCAATCCCACCAACCCACCCCGCGCCGCGAACCCCAGCACCGCAGCCGCCGGCGTTCGGCTGCTTCCCACGCCCCCCCCCCCCCCTTACACACGGTCTCTCCCCTCTCCGCTGCACGGCCCGTCCCTCCGCCTAGCCGGCGTTCCACCGGTCGGCGCTGCCCCTGCTCTGCCTAGCCGGCGCCGCTGAACCGGTCCGGCCCCGTCCAGAGCGTTACGTCAGCTTGCCCAACTCGAACTTCTTGAACATCTCGGAGGCGGTGAAGACGGCGGAGTCGACGATGCCGGCCACGGTGAACGTGCCGCCCACGATGGCGCACACCTGGCGGGCGGACCGGACGACCGTCTGTCTCGAGCGCCACATTTGTCTCGAGCGCCGCGCACATCGCCCAGGGGTGAGTTCAGATGGGTAGGGCCATGGCGAGCGGCCGTGGGATGCATCCCACACCACACAACATCTCGGCAAGGCAGACATGCTGACAGCAAGTTCGGCCCGAGAAACATCAGCATGTACTGACATGCAGCCTGCACATTTTTATGGACACGCTTGTTGATGTCGGAATAACATGAAACCCTGCCGTCCCCAGAAGAGCCTGTGTTGGCTGCAACTCTCCCTTCAGTTCGCTTTCAATGGCTCCGCTCATGAATTTTCGAGTTGTGCGTCGGTACCATGAATCGTGTGAATCGAACACAAAGCGCCTACAGGAAGGCCCGCTGCTTAAGTTCTGAGCAACGGGAGCGGAAAGATCAAAGCACGAATCCACGTTCTGGGCGGTGACATAAAGAAAAGTTAGGCGTCTTGAGCGCTTCGCACAAAGAGATCGCATTTCATGCCGCGGCACATCCATTCAATCTGCGCTCTCGGACCGGGTCGTGGCCGGACCAAGCGCACCAGCCAACCCCAGCACCGTCCCCTGCAAACGGACCCGCCCACCCTCCCGTCTCACCCCGCCCCAGCTCACAGTCGTGATGAAGGTGTAGACGGGCGGCCGACGCTCGTGGTAGCGCACTGTGATCGGGTTCAGGTCGTACTTGAACCAGATGGCCGGCGCCCGACCCAGCTGCGAGCGCGCCTGCAGCAGCGCAGCGCACCGTCAGCGCCGTCAGCCGGAGCCGAACACGGCCGGCGGGGAGACGGCGGACGCAGACAGGCGGGCGGCGGTATCGAATGTCAGCGCCGTCAGCCGGAGCCGAACACAGCCGGCGAGGGGGCGACGGCCACAGACGGGCGGACGGCGCTGACTGTGAGCGCCGTCAGCCGGAATCGAACACGGCCCGCGGGGACGCGACGGACGCAGGCGGGCGGCGGTGCCGTTACGCCCGAGAGACGCACGAGTGATTTGGAGGCATGGCAATAACCAAGACCAATGCGTTCCAAGAAAGCAACAAGAATAGCAGTCGATGCGCGGATGGCGTAGTATGCAGCATCAAAATAAGACAGCTTGATGTCACAAAGTACACGCAAATAACACATTCTGCGCTATCAGTCGACAGCAGAAACAACAAATGAGCGGCCATTGGGCATTTGGAGTGACAGCAAGCGACCGGGAGAAAAATTCCACGACAGAATTTCATTTTCTATCTTATCTTCTATCTGACGTACAACTCTACCGCCATCACCAAGTCCGGCCGGTTCTCGACAGCCAATGACGTACCCGGGAAACGTAGGTGTACTGATAGGATACCAGCTCGACGCCGCTCAGGTCCACGTATACGGTCGGCACCACCTTCATGATGTAGTCGTGCGACGCAGAGGCTGCCAGAAGACGAACCGACGTCAGGGGAGGCCACCGAGCACACACGGACAGAGCGAGCGGAGCGTAAGGAGAGTGGAGGAGCCATACGGACAGCGCGAGCCACACACGGACACCGGCAGTGCTTACGAAAAACACAGTCCACACCGCAGAGTCACGGCTTCCTACTCGGGTCGCCGGCAACGACCCAGCAGAACTTCCAGCTACCGCCGCGTGAGCGCCCCGCATGCCCTGCGGTGGGTCGGCCTTCTCCCCCCTTTGCCCCCCCCCCCCCCCCCCAGCTCCGGCGACTTACCGGGCGAGTCGAGCGCGTGCCGCTCGGACAGCGGGCAGCTGGGTCGGCCTCCTCCTCTCCCCCTCCCCCCCCCCCCCCCAGCTCCGGCGACTAACCGGGCGAGTCGAGCGCGTGCCGCTCAGACAGCGGGCTGAAGCTGGCCATCGGCAGCCGGTCGGCCGACACGCGCCGGCCGAAGCGCAGCTCGTGCACTACGTGCGCGAAGTCCGCCTCGGCCGGCTTCTGGCGCGACGAGTGCGTCGACACGTGGAAGTTACCTGCGGCGGGCGGGGTCAGGCGGCCTTCAGACGGCCGTCGGGCGGCGGTCAGACGGCCGTCGGGCGGCGGTCAGACGGCCGTCGGGCGGCGGTCAGACGGCCGTCGGGCGGCGGTCAGACGGCCGTCAGGCGGGGTCAGACGGCCGTCGGGCGGCGGTCAGACGGCCGTCGGGCGGCGGTCAGACGGCCGTCAGGCGGGGTCAGACGGCCGTCGGGCGGCGGTCAGACGGCCGTCGGACGGCGGTCAGACGGCCGTCGGGCGGCGTTCAGACGGCCGTCAGGCGGCGGTCAGACGGCCGTCAGACGGCCGTCGGGCAGCCGTCAGGTGGCGGTCAGGCGGCGGTCAGGCGGGGTCAGACGGTAGAGGGGGTCCGAAGAGCTCGTAGGGGTCTTGAGGCTGCTCGAGAGCAGTTACACAAGCCGTGATCATACAACCAGCTTTCAACGTCAAATATTGTTAGGATAACCAGTGTGTGCACTATAACGTCATTTAACCAGTCAGCATCTCCCGGTAGTTTGGCTGTCGATAGACCATTAAAACACCTAGGAACTCTGAACTCACGGATGCAACTGTGGGTTACGTGGTGTGATGTAGGTTAGAGGCTGACCTGGCACTTTGTTGATCTGGAAGTCGGCCACCATCAGACACCCGGCCCCGGACAAGACGGGCGTTTTCTTGGTGTTCTCCACCATTCCGACCTCGTGCCTGCCCTGGTCATCCTGGATATCCAGGCCGACATCTGGAGACATGCACGATCACCTGACCCTGTTGTACCGCGCAACACGGACGATCTTAACGACGCTCAACAATTTCGGTCTCCCTACCCTGTTCTTTTGACTGGTGGCTGATAAAGAATTACCAGCACATCAGCGTAACATACCAGACGGAAAACACACGGGCCAGAAAGCTAACAGTTAAGCTAGCACGCCACAGCATATGGATGCTGCAGTGCCACTGCAAGATCGTAGGAACAGCCCGACATGGACAGCCAAGTGAATGCAGGGAGCTTCCGCGCAGTGAAGGAGCCGCGAGGCTCGCGACAGTCAGCCCTCTTAATGAAGAAGGTTATGGGCCTTCAGCATCAGCCCACAACACTCTCATACCCCCAGCAGCCAGTACTCAGTCTTTTCGCGCCCGCACCATTGGTCGGCACCAGCTGCCACGCTCCCAGCAGCAAACATTGATTCTAACGCTACTGGAGTCCAACAATGAGTCACATCGTCATCGGCATCCAGCAGCCGCTCTGGCGCTCTCGGCGGCCGATACTCACACTGACACTGCAGGCGGGGAAGCGAGATCTCCAGGTGGACCGCGATCCTGCCCGACTGGTTGCCAGGGTTGTCCACTAACAGGTCAGACACGCTGCCGGCCTCACCAGGCGTCAGTGGTGTACGCGTCCAACGGAAACACGCGTTCAACAATACCAACAACAACAGCAAACATGCAAGTGCGTCCAATGGACACACGCGTCCAGCAATAGCAAACATGCACACACATGCTCACTGCTGTTGCTATGACACAATGTTATTCACAAATTTCCACATGGTTAATGACAATATAACACCTGCTGCCACAAACTCCACCTCTAACAATGTAAGCAATGTCATATTATTGCCTAGTCAGTTCACATTCAGTGAACATAATTGAAGCCAACACCGCAGCTGATGGCATGTGTCAGCCACCAATCAGACAACAGAAAATATGGTTGTGGAAAACAACATACAATACAAAACAGCAAAATCAGCAACACCTACATATCTGGAGAAATGAAATTCCAGAGCTCAGAAACCAGCAGCAGGAACATGAAGCTGCAGCAGCAGACAGAAATGATGGCGCCCGAAACAGTTGGCTGTGTCAGGTCCTTCGGCACCTTGCGGTAAATATCCAGCCTGAAATGACAAATTTGTTCATTACACATGAACTTCCCTGGCTTCTCCACCTTTAAATGCCATTGCCTACTGATTTCTGACTTGATGAGCTAACAAACGAATAAAATAAAGATGTAACCATGCAACATCATTCAGAACTTCTGCAAAATTTATGTTGCTTATCTTAAAAATAACATACCAATATACCACTACTTCTTCCAGGTTGTAATATAATCATGAAGCCATCCAAAATCTCATAAAATATCATGAACCCTAGCATACTCATGGCCATCTGAGGTCAGGGTCGTGACAAATATGGACTGATGTGAGGTAACCTCCAATTGAGCTGCTTACAGTGACAGAACAACTTTTTAAATTTCTTCTGCTTTTCTCTGCAAATAGACACAAAACTACACAGATGTGGCCACACATGGTGCCAAATACCATTATATATGGCACCACCAAATATATACATATATATATATATATATATATATATATTGATATATATATATATATATATATATATATATATATATATATATCAGTTAACCTAACCTGATTGGTCAACAATGAGGTGTAATAAACTGATTTAAAGTGTAGCTCATAATTGCATTTCATGCACCATCCTGTTTGGAAATATTTGATCTAATACATCATGCATGGATTCTGCAAAGGAGAGATCATGCCTGCCTCCTACACTATGAGGATGGCAAGAACAAGGAACCTGTAAAATGTTTCAACACCTTGATGTTGACATGTTAAACACTGATTGCAGACACCGGCTTAACTTCAACTGAGATCTTTGATCTCTTTTTTTACCATCACTGTAAATTATCTTTCCAAAGATCAAAGGAGCTAAAAACATCAAATTTACTGCTAATTCACAGCTTCAGGACCACTGGATGAGGACATGTGTAAATGAAGCCATACACAACTTAAGACCTGACATAATGATAACAAGTCACAATTTTCAAATCAGTATTGAAAACAGCTAAATATGCACTACCTGGTATTGCACTACACCTTACTGAATGGTCCAGGAGCTACTCAACAAAATTTATGATGTTAACAAAACTATTCATGCCAGCATAACATTTAGGGGTGGCATATGCATGCTGCCTGTGACACCACACAGTAGTAGCATACATGAAATACACTGTCACTTTGAGCCTTATCATCATCTTTTAATTTCAGAAATTGGAAATAGGACAAGATGGTCAGCCAGGAATGGCATTCTTATGTGACATAATAACCACATATGCTAAGATATGCTGACAAAAGCTTCCTGCTAAAGTAGCATTGTTTTTCCTGAATAGCAGGACCAGGATGCTTATGCGTTTGATGCTTGACCTCTAAAGAACACTCAGGTCACATACCCAAACTAATTATCATACCCAGTAGCATAGTGTGCACAGTGATTGACATACAAGTCATCAGTCAGAATCATATTGGCAGTGAGCTATGCTTCGTAGTGGTCAACCAGGCAGCTGTAGCTTATTACATAGCTAGTGAACCTACAAAGCTGTCAGATATGGTGATATTCTCAGGAGAGATTCATTTACAGGCCTTGCACTTCCTAAAATATTAAGTGTGGAAGCCACTATAAGCTGTTTAGATTTCAGCTGTGGACCATTGCAGTTTTTCAGACCTTCCTAAGTCAGAATCATTACTTAGCAGCTGTAAGCATGATACATAAATAAAAATGACAGCCCAGTGTATCCAATAAATGCAGATCACCAGTAACTACCATGAACACCTACCTTTTGACATCAAAGCCCATGATTAATAGTGAACCAGGCCACAAAGTTCTTCCAGGTCAGAAAAAATAAACTGAAAATTCTTCGAGTAGCTCTGAAACAAAAACAGTAAAAATAAATATACTTGTGACTCACGGTGGGGAAAAATAAACGATAACATCGGGCTGGACGTCAAAACAAACAAAATAGTGGGGCCAAACTATGTCAACCAGAAACAGCAAAGCTCGCCCAGCCTGCCCCAGCTAACATGTTGGTTTTATGCAGCTCGCCAAAAGCTGCATTTCATGGCGTTACGGCTAAAAAATGCTTAGAACACATAATACGACAGGAAACGTGCATCAATCAGCACGCAAACTCAGCTCATGCGACCTCACGTACAGCCGGCAATGTAAACATCGCAAGCGAGATTCGTAACAGCTGCGCCATGATAGTTTTGCTGACGGCGATTTGTATTTTTCTTTTACTGTGAGCCTTCCGTGCCCTGTGAGCAACGTCCCACGCCAATGGCTTATCAACCCATACCGTCTGGTGACACCGACACTCGATTACTTTACCTGGGGATCCATGCCGGTGTATACCACTGTGATGCATTTTTCTTCATCCTACCTTTCTCAAGAGCTGGTAAGTTGGCAGAGTGCAGGGTTAAGTGGGTGTGCGTAAGCAATTGCTCACAGTCTAAGAAGCATGCCTGCATGGTGGAACTGGCATTCCGGAGAAGTGCTCGCCTCTGCGGAACCATTGTCATCGGAACGGGATGTTCCGTGGGCGCCGAGCTCCTCTCCTTTCCAAGAATGCTGAGCATTAAGCCTATGGCAACGCATGAAAGGATCAAAGTTTGTATGGCGCTCCCACTTTCCGAGACCTTCCTCCGTATTTGTCGGGGAATACTGTCTTGTCCTCGGTCTCAAAAGTCGCCTTAGAAAAAAAAAACGCGATTGTGTGTCCCTCCATGCAACCACGCATATGCATGTAAATATCTATTTGTGCCGATAACACTGCTTCCTATCCGTTTCATAAGCACTATCAATGCTGGACAAGCGGCAAGCACTACAAAACCGTGCCGTTTTCGCCGGGTGTGGGGAACCGGGACCCGCAGCACCGCGAGGGACATCGACGACCAGCCGGGACGCCCAGCCGCCGCTAGACCTCGACGCCCAAGTCGGGATAGCTGGCGCAGCTCCAGGGCCCGTTCACGAAGAGCCGCTGGAGCCGGTCGGCCGTGGCCGCATCGAGTTCTGCGGCTCGGCCCCCGAGGAGGCGGCCGCGCTCGCCGTCGGCCGCCAGCCCGCCCTGGCCCAGCAGCTGGCAGCGCGACAGCACGTAACAGCCGGTAGCCAGGCCGCGGCGCACGTAGCCGGGCAGACACTCGGACTGGCGCGCCAGCTCCGCCACGTCCGCCGCCTCGAAGCGCGCCAGGTGCGTGCCGAAGCGCACGGCGTGCTGGTAGAAGCGGAAGCGGTAGTAGAAGAGCGCCAGCTGGCCGGTCGCGTAGATGTTGCCGCGCCGCGCCGCCTGCGTCAAGCAGAGGCGGGCTGCGACCAGGTCCCTCCGCACCCCCAGACCGTACAAGTACATCACGCCCAGCGCACCTGCGGCAGCGACGCGCACCGGTCAGATGGAGGGCGCGCCGGCAGAGCTCGGCCTCGAAGTCGCTGCGTTTGTAAGGCGAATCTTTAGAAGAAAAGCGTGGCTCGCAATTGCTACAGCTTAGGCATTGGAACATGGTGTTCTGTTGGGAGACGCGTTTCGATGTAAGCCTTGGAGCCTTCAGGCCAAACAACAGCAGAGCTCCGAGACAAAACTGCCGCTGAATAGCTCACAACAGGCAGCAAGTCTCAGTCTTGGAGATTATGATTTTATACCGTTTATGACAGAACATGATCGCCCAGCCTTCTGTAAAATGTAGGAACCAGAATTGTATTCAACTCGTTTGGTCGGTATGCAGAGTGGCACTCCTATAAGCAGGTCATCCTTATCAACGACAGAAGCGTCTTTCATCTTTCATACAGCGGAGACCTTTCGCACCAGAGGCCCACCAACCCTTACCAGTAGCCGCCTTAGTGTCACTGTGTTTGCAAGACCTGAGACCCTGGGGGCTGTCACAGCCAGTATCCCTACCAAAATGGACTCGAACCGGTCTTAAGACATTCATTGCAGGGGGACAAACACTTAGAGCGCGGAAGGCGTAAGGCCGTATCCTCCCCAGCCGTGTCAGGCCGGCATCGGGTGTTGCAGACCCACATGATTCGACTCTTGTTGTCGACCTGACCCGTTGTGAACCCGCCTGACGCTCCCCCCCCCCCCCCATTCAACCCTTCACATCAGCGGACATGACGGGGGAAAACAAGGCTGCAGTTGTAGGATTTACGTCTGGCCGCCAGGAGCCCAGACCAGACCGCTTTAACTCGTGTCCCGAACCTGTGTACCGTTGCCCCTGCTGTGCCCGGGACTCTCAGCTACCCGCCACGCCCTACCTTGTGACTCCAGACTGCCGTTGCCGGTGGCCTCCGAGTGCCAGTGGAAGGACTTCTCCAAGTCCAGGGTGTCCCTCCGGGCGAACAGCATGGCCAGCATGGTCTGCGCCTTGACGCTGCCCCGGCGGGTGCCGTCGGCGGCGGCTCGGTCCAGCCATCTGCGGCGATAGACGCCCTTTCAGCGGCGCAGCTTTGCCGGCGCGGCGACAGGAGGCGCCAGCTCGGCGCCGCACCCGCCGCTCGGCGGCCAGCAGTCGCGCTAGGATTACCTTCGTCCGTCGTCCTCGCTGCTCGGCGCGCCGAATCCCATGAAGTAAGCCCTGGCGACGTTGTACTGCGCCTTGTGGATCGTCTCCTCGTGCTCGGGAGTTTTCGGAACGCTGTGAGCCACCGTAAGCATGAACCTGAAGCCCTTTTTCAAATCCTGCTCGAAGCCCAAGCCTTCGAAAAGCATGACGCCCAGCTGGTACTGCGCGTAAATGTTCTGGGCCGCGATCGGAAGGAAGTGTTCCTTGGCGCGTTCGAAGTTCCCCGTGTCGAAGTACAGCTGGCCCAGGTAGAAGACCGCGCGGCGGTCCCCCGCCTCGGCACGCTTCTTCAGGCAGCGCTCGGCGGCGACATCCGAGGGCGGCAGCAGCCCGGACGACGGGCTCTGTTCCCAGCCCAGGTCGCTGATGTCGGAGGCGGAGGACGCGGATGACGCACGCGATGCGGACTCCGCGGTCTTCTCCGCTTGGCCGGGCTGCTCCGTCTCTCCCTGCGGGGAGGCCGGCGACGCGCCGCCCTCCGCCTCCGCCCAGCGGTGTGCTGACTGGGCCGCGCCGCAGTGGGCGTCCGCTTCCTTGGTCGCGTCTTCTGCCCCCTGCCAGCGGAGCGCTGAGTGGGCGGCGCCGCAGTGAGCCCCCGGGTCAGCGACGTCCGCTGCTATCTCCCAGCGGTGAGACGAGTTCGCCGTGCCACAGTGGGCCCCCGGCTCCAAGGCCGCGTTGTCGTCGTCCTCCTCCTCCCACGCTTCCCACCGGTAAGACGAATTCGCCGCGCCGCAGTGGGCGCCGGGGTCTGTCACCGCAGCGTCCTCCTCGTCCCTCGCCTCCCAGCGGTGGGTGGAGTCGGCGGCTCCGCAGTGGGGTCCCGAGTCCTGGCTGCTGCTGTCCGGCGAGGGAGCCCAGCGGTGCGCCGAGCTTGCCGCGCCACAGTGGGCGCCCGGGTCGGCGCTGTACGCTGCCACAGCGAAGCGGTGCACGGAGCTGGCTGCGCCGCAGTGGGCGCCGGCATCCTCAGCAGCGGCCATGCTTCCTGAGGAGTGCCTGAGGAGTTGGGAATATGGACGTCCGCGTGACTATGAGGCGCCGCTGATTCTGTCCAACCGCCAAGGAAAAAATTCGGTGTTTGTACGTCTCATTGCTGCTTCAGAGACAATATATTTCACTTTTTCTGTTAGTAATCGTACAGCGGTGTTTTCTAACGCGCTAGTAAGACATCTTGCAAGTAGACGTGGTACGTTCAAGTGCACCATCGTATCACCAGAGCCTGCCAAAGAGCACTCGCCGGCTGACCTCCAGCCGTCTCGTCAACTCAAGCCGCCCTACGAGCCTTATGTTTTTGAGCGTGGAACGTCTCTAGCTCCCTTTGGTCCAAGAACTTGATGCCGGGCGTTCATGGCTTAGCAAATCACTTGCTTATCCGCTAATCACTTTCTCTTTCGCAGTCTGCTCTCAAATCTTGCTCAGCCGATCGCGGGAATAACGCGATTTATATGTTTAAAAATAATCGCGCGATTTAGTCCCTGCCTTCTACGTAGCATAAACTAAAAGAACTAAAAGACCTATCCTATGAGCCGCCTATCCCTATCCTAGACAAATGTATTTTCTTCACTTTTCATTTACTCAAACCGGTAGAAAAACTTGTCTTTCCACTGTCACGTGCATCACCATCGCCGCACCACCACGTTGCATGTGTTCAGTTATTCCAGTGATCCGGCACAACTCGGATGTAAATTTCCGATCGATTTCACGGGCTGAGCTGCCATCCGGCCATTTTGGTGTCCCTGATCTGTAGTAAGTGAGCGACGTACTCGTGTTCGTATTATAATGTTCATTGCGGTACTTTCCGATTTTCTTAAAATTTTAACAGGCTGCTATAGGATGAAATTGCCTATCTTGGTGCCTTTTCGCAGCGCATCCTGTCATTAAACCCGCGGAGATAGCAAGATCCTGCCAGTTGAAATTTGGTGTTTCCTGATGACAGTGAAGGAAACTAGCATGCAAATGCAGCCAACAACAATTTGCAAAATTTCAGCACCGTCCAACAAGCACAGTCCACACCAACAAGACGTCATATAACTGACCAGCGGCCGCTGTCGTGTTCGCAATGGACCGGAGATGATGGAACATGGAAAATTTAGCTCCTAGCGGAAACCAGTGTGGCCCCGAGTCACGGACCAAATCTTCAACGACGCGTTTTAGGGTATTCGATGCCCCCGATAACTTCCAGGGAGCTCAGCATCAAGAGAATTCAGAACACCGAATTCGCGCCGCACCAATGACGACGCAAAACCAATGAAATAAACCCCAATTGGCAATCTTTGACCTCTTCAGCGGTACATGGTATGACTCATAATGTCGGCAGCAAATAACTCTAAATTCAAGCGGTCTCAAAGCAATCGTTTTCGCGACCGAAAAGGCATGGTGTACATCCAGCGGCCACATGCCCAACAGTCACCAATGAGCGCCGGACGGGCGTCTAGTGCACGGTTTATTCGCCGATACTCCAGACAATATAACGTTTAGGTAAATGCCTTTTGGGTTGGCACATCGATATCTAAATCCTTCCTTTCGTGTCACAGTGTACGGTGCATTTAAGTTGACATTTGGCAAGCACAAAAAGTCAGAAGGCCCGATGTATCTCGGCCCAAAGGTGGATCAGACGAGAGTCCATAGTTCTTCGATACGCATTCGTGTACGAACACGAGTACCCATATGGGTACCGTCAAAGGGACCTGCTATGGCTGCTGGATACTTGCCATGCAACGGATGCCATCCCATGCTGCATGCAACGAACTGAGATCTTCGTTTCAGAGTGCAGTCGAAACCCGTCCGGCGGCTGCGTATTTATTTATCAGCCTGAGTCGGGCCGGCCGCCATGCTCTACCATCAGCTCGCTATGGCCGTGGCCGGGCACGGTATTGTTGAGCTCCTCCCCCCGTACGGTAGGTGTTCTCGTCGTCAGCTGTATCGTGGCGCCGCGTCCCTGCACCCGACTGTCTCCGTTGGCCGCTGCGCCTCCGACGGCGCGCGGCCTGGCTGCGCCCCTGCCGGCTCGGACGCCAAGGTCAGCGATGGCGTCACGTGGTCGGCGCCAAGCCTGTGGTGTAGTCGGGCCTCGCGCGCCGTTGGCGTTGGGTAGCCGGCGAGCGACCGTCGGAAGACGTCAGTTTGGTGCGGCACCGACTCCTGAGTCCGGTCGTCGTGGTGGGCCCGATTTGGAGTCTGCTGTCACGAAAGCGGTACGGTCTGCGCGACGCGACAGGATCGATCGCCCGAAGAGCGACGCCCGGCGTGCGTCGGCGCCGGCCTTACCTTTGTCGCCGAGGCCTGTGACTTGTCTGGGTGTCGTCGCGCGCCATGGCCTGGCCGGTGTGCCGGTGGTCACCGCTCGGCCCGTGGGGCGGCGGCGGCGGTCGGCTCCCCCGCCTGGCCGCGCTGGCCGCTGCTCTCGCCGCCGTCTACGCGGTGAGGTGGCTGCGGCAGCGGCGGCGGCGCCGCGAGCGTCGCCGCCGCTGGGACGCCGCCGGCCACGACGTGGTCGTGCTGCACCAGTTCGCGCGCGCCGCCATCTCGCCCAACTTGTCGCCGTTCGCGCTCAAGGTGGAGACGTTCCTGCGCATGGCCGGCTTCCAGTACGTGGTGGACACGAGCAAGCCGCTCGGCCCCAAGGGCAAGTGCCCCTGGATCACGGTCAACGGCGTCGACGTGACCGACTCGGAGCTGATCATAGAGCACCTGCTGACGCTGCGGCCGCATGCGCTGCCGGCGTACCGGGCGCTGACACCGCAGCAGCACGCGCTCGGCCGCGTCGTCCAGGTGGCGCTGGACGAGCACCTGGTCCTGGCCATGGCTGCACACCGCTTCGTCGTCGACGGCATGCGCCACCTGGTGCCGATGATGGCGCCGCGCTACCGGCGCCGCTACCGGCTGCTGCGGCCGCTGGCGGCGCTCTGGGCGACGGCCAGCTTCCGCAGCATCGGCTGGGACCGCGACCGGGAGGAGCTGGTCGCGCTGATGCACCGCGACCTGACCGCCCTCGCCGATCTGCTCGGCGACAGGCCGTACCTGCTCGGCGACGAGGTGACGCCGTACGACGCGGCCGTGTTCGGTCAGCTGACGCAGCTGATGACCGGCTGCGCGCCGGCGGTGGGCGGGCTGGTGTGCGAGTTCCCCAGCCTGGTGCGCTACTTTGAGCGGCTGCGAGCGCGCTTCTGGCCCGACTGGGCCCACTGCCTGTCGCCCTGATCGGCGCTGCCCGGCTGCGGCTGCTAGGAGCGAACAGCGGGCGCTGATGCGTGGCGATGATTTCTCGGCCGGCTCACGCTCTCGCGGCCGTCCGCCGTCCGCTTAGCAGGTTATGAGTCGTGAGTGGAATGCATCCACAGCTGTAGAAAGCCTCAAAGAGGCCAGGCGCAGGGAAGTAGTATGCATCGGTGTATATGCGGATGCAGTGTTGTAGCTCTGCTTTTCCATATCAACCAGGAACAACAATCAAGTTGTCAAGTCTACGCAACATTGCGCGAAATAAACGGTCTGCTGACAACTATCTTGAAACTTAAGTTTCATTCAGATTTGCAGACATCACGCAATTACGTGATGTCTGCAAATCTGAATGCATACTATCAACATGCGTTGATCTCAAATGAACTGTATGATGTTGGTGACTAAATAAAACTGCTGCGGTGGGGTCGGTAGGTTAGATCGTACATGACAGGGATCAAGAAGGAAACAAGTGCGTGGCGGCAGCGCATCGCGCGGGTGCAGGTCGTTGTAGGTTAGGTCAGTGCGTATTATTGTCGATGGGATAGGTGTTGCGTCCCTTTCTGTAGGTGGCATTCAAAACCGGCCACCGTAGCGCTGCTTGCGGGTCGTGTTCGATTCGTCTTGATTTCTCTCACCTTCTGCATTCGCAGCTTGCTGCGATATTTGCAGGGGTACCGAACTGTGCGACATCATCCACACCGTCGCGACTGTTAAATGTCGTGGTCTACCGAACTACGCTTACGGATAGCGCAAGCGTATTTGCTAGAGCTAATTGATGTTCGCTTAATATATGAGCCGCCCCGAAACTACTAATTTGTTAAGCTTTCGTTGCTCCGGCTAAAAACGATATCGCAGATGTGTATTCTGTTCTGCTCTTCGGTGAATCTATCTATAGAAATTCTGCTTTGGCGGTTAACATCAAAATGCTCTTGAACGCTTCAAGAACGCAACATGCGTGGTACCCTCAGTGACCCCGTAGATAAGTGAGGACCGAGCACAGCCAACCTCGCAGACGGGTGAGGACCGAGCACAGCCGACCTCGCAAACGGGTGAGGACCGAGCATGGACGACCCCGCAGACAGGTGAGGACCGAGCACAGCCGACCCCACAGACAGGTGAGGACCGAGCACGGCCGACACGCGCAGACAGGCGAGGACCGAGCACGGACGGCCTCGCAGACGGGTGAGGACCGAGCACGGCCGACCCTCGAAGACAGGCGAGGACCGAGCGCGGCGCAATATAGGCAGGCACGTATCGAACATGGCGCAATGTGGGCAGACACGGAACGAGCACCGTGGCCGTGCAGGTGCCCAGGGCCCAGGCATGGCGGTTTGTGGATATGTACGGACCGACTGCGGTGGCTATGTATACAGGTACGGAACGAGCACGACCGGCCCTACTAACAAATGCGGACTCAGCAGATGACTAGCTCAAAGGCTCAATAGCCATGAAGCCTCTGACCACGTGTGTTGAAAAGATCGGCAGGTACGGTGTGTTTCACTTAAGATGTCAATTTTAAACTGCAAGTAGAAGTCCAAAAAGCCAAGCATGCATTACTTGACGAGTATTATTGAAAATTTTAGGTCTTTTGGATCGGTATCTCACGCAATTAGTGAGAACTGATAGCTAAAGGTGCAGCTCTTCCCTCCCGCGCTCAGCGACAGACCATGCCATTCACAAGACACCAGCAAGTGTGGGTCATTCTAGAACTAGGAAAAATACTTCGGGTTCAGGGGCTGTCGTGGGCCGGTTTGCAACACTGGTAAGCACTTCTATAAAAACAGAAATCTATACAGGTTTAAATGTTTGTAATGTAGAGAAGCATGACAACAAATGGCGGACCACGGGACCATACAGGACCTGACGCGATAGGACGCTGGATTTGACGGCATTGACGTGATCAAAAGGGAAGAGACAGCACAGAACGGATCACAACGGAACCGCGTAGTAGCAGGCTGAGCCCGTCTGGTCCGGTTTAGCCCGGTAAGGTCCCGTCTGGTCCAGTCTGGTCTCGTCTGGTTCCAGTCGATCCCGTCCAGCATCGTCTGATCTCGCCCGGTCCATCTGGTTTGGTCTCCGTCTGGTTTGGTCTGGTCCCACTCGAGTCCGTTCAGTCCTGTCCAGTTGTTTTTAGTCCTGCCCAGTTCCATCCAGGCCCATTCGATTCTGTCCGTTCCCATGCCATCCGTCCAGTCCCATTCGGCCTCGTCCGGTCCAGACCGATCTCTTCTATCTTGCCCAGTCCCGTCTGGGCTCATTGAGACTGGTTAAGCATATGAATGATTAGCATGACAGAAACATTACGAACCTAAAGGCTACTGTTTTGCATAAAATTTACAAGATGCCGATCGTGATGTGTTTAGGCATCTACACCTAGCACACCAATAATTACGATAATTGTTCCGTATTTATTTGGTCCAGCATTTCCTGTTTGCTCATATGCATTAAGGGGACTAAGTTCACGTCAGTATGGAGGTTCGTCACTCCGAAAATATATGAAGTGACGCCCCTGGCCATCTCGTGTGGCCCGTGCATAATTATTAAAAGGTGGGCGGTGATAATATAATCTTATGACGTCACCAGCAAATCAGCTGAAGGTGTTTGGGAACCTCATCTTCAACTGAGTCTGGGTAATCGCGCTGCAGGTTTGGGAGCCGGCGGGTCGTCTGTGGTTGGTAAGATAATATTGAGGATATTTGTGTGGCACATAGAGTGAGGTGCCAGAAGTATCCAAAAACATCTATTTGATCTGATCATGTCAATGTCGAATGGGTATTACACCGGATGTGGTTGATTGACGCCGTTGTGGAAAGTGCGAGTCTTACGATGGTTAATGCCAGGCAATGCGTCGTGTAGCCATGTCTCGCTATTCACATTTCTGAGGATTTTCTCTGGATTCATTTGAGATAAAGGACGGAAACAGCTCAAATGACGCGCTATTCCTATCCTATCATTGCAAGTGTAAGAGACTGCTGCATGCAGTGAGTACTGTTAGCTTTTCATGCAAGCTATGCTTTCAAGATTTTAAAAAAAATATTGTTTTAGTATGCCTCTGGCCTAAAACTTTCTGATAGTGTGAAATTATGATTTTTTGGCAGTGTGTATGCACTGTTCAAATTGGAGAGTGGTTACAAACTGGGCTTATACATGCTCGAAAGCAGAGGGCAGTTATGCACCAAGCATATACTCCCTCCAAAGTGGAGAAAGACCACACAGAAGGCCCATACAGTAATACACCTTTCAAAAATCTGCTGATTGAACAATATGCTTACTGAAATAATAAAAAGCTAGAGTTGTGAGTCAAAGAAAATAGGTAATATTAGCTATAAACATGAATAATCAAATTTTCTCCATTTAATTGAAACCAATTTTCTGTATTTGTGAACTGTAAAAGTTTGAACCCAAGTGTGCAGTGGCCAGGCTGTTAGCACATCTGGCTGTCACCCAGTGAGCCTGGGTTCTAATCCTGGTGATATTGGGGTCCCTGAATAGTGATATGATCAGTACTGACACCCACATCCCATGCCATTTAAATGGTGACAAAAGTAATGGTTATATCGTGCCTGTCTGAAAGAAATAGCCCATGTCCTTAGTTCTGGACAGTTTTGCAGTTTTTTATGTCCTTGAGGACACCCATCCCTCCCTTATTTGGGCTCCTCAAAGAAGGAGACCAAATTTGAGGAGAAACTCACTTGTTACCACAGGTTTTGGGAGGATACTTTTGTTGTTTTCTACTTTTTTGCCCCTCTGAACTCAGATTGCTCTCAACACCAGACTGACATGGGGAGAAAGTGGTTGTTCGTAAGCCTGAAGTGTCATTCAGGTGATCATGAAAAAAACGTGAATGGGAGCACCATAAATCCGATATGAAACCCGAAGCACTGGTGAAAGGTCATTAAGAAGGTGAGGGTCAGACCATCAGATACCAGTCAGAGAGCCCGTTGCACCGATTATACCCTGGTCTGGGCCTGGGAGCCTATTTCCCAACCAGGGACAAGGTCAGAACCCGCGATTTACATTGCTCGGTGCACCCCGAGCCAGTGAAGGGTCCCGTGTTGGCCAGGGGCACATGTCGCCTAACTAGAGGTCCGGTATTGACAAGGGCCCCCAAGTTGGTCAGGGAGTGTTCGAGGGTACCCGAAGAGGGACCGATGTGCCCTTCAAGACTGGCTATCAACGGCCTGATGGGAAGGCTGAATGGCCGTAGGGGTCGAAAGGCTGCAGGTTATCCTGGCCCGCATGGCTGTGACCCCAAATGCCAGCCAATATCCCTCTTTCACCGATTGTGAGCCCCTGGGACAATACGGGCACCTATTTCGGCTGGAGACCACTACACCGAATAGTCGACTCCGTGTTGCTCTGAGCCCTGGGGCCCCATTTTTCCAGCAGGAACGAGGCCGAGGCCCGCGATTTGCATTGGTCGGAGCCCATACAGCAATGAGTGGTCTTTTGACGGTCAGGCCCACAGTGTCCAACAGGGGGTCCTGTGACAGGACTCCCGAGTCGGCCAGGGGTGACCCGGGGCCCTTTCGGGCCCTTTACCCCATTTTAGTCAAGGGCCCGTTGGCCAAACATTGGTCTCTGTGCCAGTTATTGGACCAGCTGCAGTTATCAGGGATCTTGTTGCACCAATGAGCGTTCTTGTGCGTATCCAGGGGCAAATGTTCCGGCCAGAAGCCGCTAAAGGGCCTTTCGCGCCAGGAAGGGCACCAATGTAGGATGTATATCTGTTAGGGCCTCCAGACGAACCCATCAGGCAAACCCCCCTCCAGGTCGCCAGAGTGCAGCCGGTAGACACTCCAGGCAGGGACGGAATGATCTTTGAGCAATTGCCTGTAAGGGTAGTGTGCACCTAACTTTTCACTAATTGATTCTGACTTACAGTTGAACATTCCCAGATGAAATAGGACCAGCTGTGTTTATGCAAGTCGTTGGCCTCAATTAAACTTATGGTCAATGTTCACGGCATGCTCAACATCTCTGTAGAGTGTGGACTCCCCCCCCTAGGCATTAGAAACTGTGCCTCTGTCCGACATAAGAAGCCCTAGTTAGAATTTATTCGCATTCACATTTCGTAATCGTCTCATGCTTATAACGCCTCAAGCCAACTTTTTGCACAGGACTGTGCATGTTTGAATTTGCTTCAGAAAAAATTTTGGAGTGTGTAAGCCCAGTGCATAGCCACCCTCCATTTTGGAGGGTGTATAAGCCCTCCATTTTGGGGTTGTGCAGCCTAATTCTTTTTCATGAGGGGTGATGATGGTAGATGTTGCAGCATATTATAATTGCTTTATGACCTTTGCCAATCTTTATTAATAATTATGTTGTGGTCATCTAGTTAAGGATCCAAGATTGAGTACCCTTGTAACTTTGTGGGGATTTACACTGAATCAAAAGTAAAACTACCTTTGCTTTATACTAGTCCTACTCATATATCAGTACACCAATTTTCAGATAAAGAATGTGACTATTATGTGAACAGTTTTGATGCCTAATCCATGTTATCTGACATCATGCTTTCTCATTACTGGTGATGTGGGATCATGCATCTTATTATTGGTGAGGTGATGCAAACATGTGTGGCCTGCTAACTATAGAGTCCCTACCTAAGACTGCTCTTCATACCATATTTTGCAATGATGAGATTCACCAACCAAGTGATGTATTTTCCATTGCTGGTCAAACATGAAATTGTTGTTTTTGCAGGCTCTGGTTTGAGAGGTATTTGACAAATGATTCAATGATAACACTCATCTGGTAGCAATTTTTTAGAGTGTCAATACCTGAAAATGTGCAATATGGCTATTTAAACTATGGCAACAGCTACTAGTTCAATCTGCCAAAATGCCCAAATTTGTATTTCTTACTTAGCCTGTTGTTTCCAAAGCTTATCTTGGCAGCTATGTGGGTAGTTACTTCATTTTTTTCTATTTAAGTCTGATTGTAATTATAAAGAGTTGATTTGTGTGTGCCAAGAAATATGAGGGAGTAATAGGCTGGTTCATGTAAATAGTGTGGCATGAGTTGGACTTAATTTAACTGTGATAGGATGACATGTTCCTTGTAACAAGTATGGCCTGCTCAAAATGCTACTATAGTTCAGTCTTGTTGTTATGGATGACAAATGAGATGGAAGAAGCCCAAGAGGCAAGCATTAAGTTGACAATTAATCTTGTTATTTGTGGTTTCATTCATTTGAAACATTGAGAAACCTGTTTGTGTTTACAAACAAGTCATGAAATATAACATTCCACTTGGTCATCAGTTAACAGTCATTTATGTAAGTACTGTACTGACGCCATGTGGCTCCTTTGGCACAATGTGGCATCCAGTTATGTGTGTTAAGTACATTCTGTGCTTAGGCATATGATCTGTTTCCATTGCAGGAAACTAAACAAGCGTACCAGGTGCCATCTTGTGGCGCAGCCTACACGGCAGCCCCCAGTGGGCCTCAGCCTGAGCGCCCCACCAGCCTCAGTGGCCATGTCGGCGGACGGGGGCGGGGACGCGTCGTCGGCGTCGGCCATGTTCGAGGAGACGAGCGTGGACGACCCCGACTGGGTGCCGTATTCCGACCGGGACGAGTGGCGGGACGTGACGCCGCTGCCGCAGGACGACGGGCCGCACCCGGTGGTGCGCATCCTCTACTCGGAGCGCTTCTCCGACGTGACACGACTACTTCCGCGCCGTGCTGCGCTCGGGCGAGGTGTCCGGCCGCGCGCTGCGGCTGACGTCGGCGGCGCTGGAGCTGAACGCCGCCAACTACACCGTCTGGCACCACCGGCGCCACCTGCTGCTGGAGCTCGGCTGCCCGCTGCAGCCCGAGCTGGACTTCATCCGGCGCATGATCGAGGACCACCCCAAGAACTACCAGGTGTGGCACCACCGGCGCGTGCTGGTGGAGCGGCGCGGCCGGCCGGGCGACGAGCGCCGCCTGACCGAGCTCGTGCTTGGCGCAGGACCCCAAGAACTTCCACGCCTGGCAGTACCGCCAGTGGGCCGTGCGGCGCTTCGACCTGTTCGACGGCGAGCTGGAGTTCGCCGAGCGGCTCATCGACGAGGACGTGCGCAACAACTCGGCCTGGAACCAGCGCTACTTCGTCGTCAACAACACGACCGGCTTCACGGCCGAGGCGGTGGCGCGCGAGGTCGCCTTCTGCCTGGCCGCTCTGCGCAAGGTCAAGAACAACGAGTCGGCCTGGAACTACCTGCGCGGCGTGCTGTTCCACGCGCCGGAGGGGCTGGCCGGCGCGTCGGACGTGACCGAGTTCTGCGACGGTCTCGTAGCGGCCGGCTGCCGCGCGCCGCAGCTGCTGGCGTTTCGTGGTGGACGCCAGCGCCGAACGGCGCCGCCGCCGGCGACGAGGCGGCGCTGCAGCGCGCGCTGCGGCTCTGCGCCGAGCTGGCCGCCGAGCACGACACGATACGGGAGCAGTACTGGCTGTACCGGCGGCGCGCGCTCGCCAGCAAACACGGCGTCGAGTAGAGGTATGTCAGCCGGCTGGGAGCTGGCCGAGCTAGGCGAGCGCCGGCCGGCCCGGACGGCAGCCGGGCCACCACCTGACGGCATCGGCTCCGTCTGACCGCCGGACGCAGAGCCTCGCGTCGGCGCTGGCTTGACCCACGTGATGGTCGGTCGGTGGCTGATCTCTGGGCGTCTCATGGTGACCGGTAGCGCCGCGAGCACGAGTGGAAGCGATCAGCCACGTATGGCGCGGACGTGAGAGCGGTCAGCCACATGCGATGCGGACGTGAGAGCGATCAGCCGCGGTGGCGCGGACGTGAGAGCGGTCAGCCACATGCGATGCGGACGTGAGAGCGATCAGCCGCGGGTGTTGCAGACGTGGGAGCGATCAGCCACATGCGTTGCGGACGTGGGAGCGATCAGCCACATGCGATGCGGACGTGAGAGCGATCAGCCACATGCGATGCGGACGTGGTAGCGATCAGCCGCGGGTGTTGCGGATGTGGGAGCGATCAGCCACTTGCGATGCGAACAGGTTGGGTTGAAGCAGGATGAGGCTCGTGGGAATGGACGCGGCTTCGATGTTTGGCGCTCGATGTGCACTCGATGCGACTCGCGCCATGCTTGGTGACCTTATTTGTGGAACTTTGGTATGAAGCATCGCCCGCAATTTACGCATACGCTGTGGGTGGTTTGGAACCTGGAAGGAGCAGATGAAGCGCTTGTTGCGTAGTAGTTGCGCTTCCCCGGCTCTCTTGTTGATACATGACAGTGCGATGAATGCCGCGATAACTGCACAGTCCTGCCCCACAACGCGTTATATTTGAAAATAAAAATCGATTTATGATTGTACTCGCATAGCTTGCTGGTGGCGTGGTCTGCATATCGGTGCGTGCTAGCGATGTTTTCTCCCCTCTGAGCCCGCGCGGGTGTAAATCAAGCTCTCGAGAATTAGGAACCGTCGCACAGCGCGCAGACACCGACGCCCAAACGCCCTTCAACTCCCAGCCGTGGTCCGATTCATTGAGGCGCGCACGTGCACGATCGGTGCGCTCCGAGACTGCCGAAGTACCCGCATATGAAGGCTGTCAACTGAGCCCGAAGCGGCGAACGAACGTTCTCGCGGACAGGACGCGCCGCTCGTCGCCGCGGATCTGACTGACACGGTGTTGGAACCCGGGCAGGCGCTGGTTACGTTTTGAAGGCCGCCCGGTGGCGGAGCCGAAGCCAGCGGCTGGCATCCACGGTCCTGCAGGCTGCGGAAGCCGATGCATTGAAACTACTGACAATAATCTCATCCGGTGTATTTCAGCATCACGTGATTGGGGGCGACACTGAGAGCGTCGAGCAACAGCATTGGGAAACAGGAGCACGGCACGGGCGGCTCCCGTGCCGCCGACAACACCAGGTTCCTCGTGCCCCCAGACGGAACACGCCACGCATCTCAATTGGCACCTACACACCGATCCACATTTACCTCAAAATGCTAGTGATGCCTGCCGGCCCGCCTTTCCGCGACGTGTGGCGGCCTGGCCCGGGCTGCTGTCTCACGATGACGTGGATCGTCATCGGCACAACTGTGACGCAGCGTTGCTATCCGATGTAGAATAAGAGGCATCTCCACTTGACGGCAAAGATGAACCGCCATCAAAAGCATGATCGGAAAACTCAGCCGGCTCTGCGCTTCGGCTTGAAACGACTTGCATTTCAAACCAAGCGCAACCGCTGACGTCATTTGTTCGCAAGTCTTGTGCGGGGCTGAAGAGACCCCGCGCGAACGCGAGCCCTGCAGAGCCCAGCCCTGTGCAGCAAAAGTGTTATGGCAGGCACCCGTGCCATCACCGCGCAATGTTAATCGTCCACATTTACGAAGATGAAATGACCTGCAAACACGAGTCACAATGAAAACAATGATCACAAATCGCTCACGCCACACTGCGCGCCGCACCACACGCACTCACAGAACACACATCAGCGGGCCGCGAAGCGTTTCACGTCTGTCGCGGCGCCTGCACGCGTTTTGTACTCGAGGCTGTGCTCCGCGGGAGCACGGTGCTCAATAGATGGCGTCCGAGGCGAGGTTGGCGCGCAGCTCGGCCGCGCTCACCGGGTTGTAGCGGGTGCTGCCGCTGCGGCGGATGGTGGCCGTCTTCTCCGAGACCAGCTCGCCGCCCTTGACCGAGCCGTTGCGGCGGCGGCCGTTCTTCAGCTCGGCCAGCTCGTGCACGCCCGGCACGCCGCGCACCGTCACGTACGCGTTGGGGCTGACCGCCTTCGGCAGCGCGTCGTAGTACTTAGAGGAGCGCACGCCCGGGTGGCGCCGCCGCGTCAGGTGGTAGTACGTGCAGACGGTCGCCAGCAGGGCGCCGGTGCAGAAGCAGCCGAGGCAGGCGGCCACCATGCGGCCGGTGCCGATGGCCGGCGCGGTGCCCGTGGCCGCCAACAGTACGCTCTCTGCAGGGAGAGGGCGTTGTGGCGGCGCTGTTGCAAACGGGCCCACTTACGGGGGCTCGCCAGGGAGGAGTGACCACTCGTCACTCCGCTGTTGTGGGACAGCCCCGGCCTTCGGGTGGCCAGTTAAGCACATTTATCTAATGTACAGCAGAACTACGCAAGATTTTAAGTAGCTTCATTTCATACCCAAAAACATTCCACAACCCGCCACTAGCCTTGCAGCATTCAACGCGGGAATGAAATCAACACCTACTGATTACCCCACTCAAATCGACCGGGCTTCGGTCAGTGGCACTTGGTCCACCGCCTAAGACCAGCAAGAATCTCAACACTGCCGCGGCGGGGGACCGACCGGGCATTTCCGCAGCCCTCAGCCCGCTGGTGGCGACACCTACCGTCGCCAGTGTCGACGCAGAGCCGGGCCTGGCGGTCTTCGCCCTGGCACAGCTCGCCGCCCGGCTCCGAGACCATGCAGTGGCGGGCGCGGTGCTGCTCGCCGCGTGCGTCGCACAGGCTCCACACGGACCTGGCGGCGGGGGCACGGGCGTGCAGGTCAGGCGCGCCAGGCGGGCTGGCGGTGCGGCGCGCTGTACGCGCCAGGGAGACCCGCTCGGCAGCCGACACTGCTCCAGACCGCGCCGGCGAGAGGGACTTGAACTATGCGCGGCGCAATATTCTGCTCAAGCCATTGTGCCCAGCCAATGTCCGGAAGGTGCCTTGACTTTCAAAGCAGTGCTCCAAAACAAACTTCCATTATTGAAATGTTTTTCGAAGTTCAGAAATTATCGGTTTTTCCTAACTTTGGCCATATTAAGGAAAGTTCCAGTTAGCTCCTCCATCCACCTTTCGCCATCGCGTTCAAGTCACAAGATGTCAAAAGTTAAAGTTCGTAGTTCGTACCATTGATTCCACCCCTCAAGGCTCGTGCAGCTGGTCATTTCGCACGGCTCCTCAGAGGTGGCAGCACCGTCGCAGATCACGTCGGCGGAGCCGGCGGCCGCAGTCGCCCGGCACTCTCTGTCGCGCCGGCGACGGCCCACACCGCAGGAGACGCTGCAGGCGGACCACTCGGACCAGCAGGACCAGTCGCCTGAGGACCCGGGACCACCCGGTCAGCGTCGGCCGGCCCTCGCGGCTCCAGCTGCAGTCGGATGCAGTGCCCCCCACCCCCCCATCACATCCGTCCTCCGCACAAGGCAAGGCCGTGGCTCTTGGCATGCCCGGCCGTCCCGTGACTTCATGATGTGTGCCCATGAGCACAGGCGGCCACGGATCCAGAAGGCCCCGGTACATCCAAGCACCAGGGGTTTCTCTTACGCTAGTGTGAATGAGTCCTGTACTTGGTTGCAGTTGGTCGTATCTGTTCACCCATCACAGAGCCCCTAAAAACAAACACGCGCGTACGGACCACAGAAAAATGCACATTTCATCATTAATTCATGTGCGTAAGCAACGCTCGAACTGCGTAAGCTGCCCCCCATCGCGTCATCGAGGCTTACCTTTGCAGCGTTGAACGTTACACTCCTGCTCCACGCGGCTGGGTCCCAGACAGGCGGCGCTGTCTCCGTCGCACGTGCGAGACTTGGTCTGCACACCGCCGCCGCAAGGGACGGAACACTCGGACCACGGACTCCAGTCGCCCCAGCCCAGGCCCGTCCAGTTGGCTGCAGCACGAAACCATGGCGTGACCGTTAGGGGAACGTAGACAAGCGTGTGTGAGGTATTAGGGACAGCCGATGTCACATGGAAGACGAACGTACCCGGTAAACAAACCATATTAACTGATAAGTTTCTTAGGTAATCCAGTAGCGTTCTGGGAGCTGAAGCCTAAAACGGGCTCAGGGCTCCAAGGTGCACATTCATGCCATCGATAATGGCACAAGCACTTAGGCAGCAATTATCTGAGGTCAAATTAGCCGACAGCTTTTAATTGCAAATAACGTAATCTGAACATGCACGCAACCTCGTTCCGTGGCTCTGTTGCATCTCCACATGACCCTGCTTCGTCAGAGAAGAGGGTACAAAATTAAGAGATACCTCCTTCATCCTGGCAATATAGAACTTGCCACAAGCCATAGGTTGGTGGGTGAGGACGAGATAAAGGCAACGGGGGAAGATCAGATGTTGGAGAATCTGGCGAGCGAGACAGCGTGAGATCCGACTACAGATATCAGGAAATAGGCAAGGGGGATAGTGACAGGTGACAACATGAGGCGAGGGAGGGCATCGCCCAGGTAGAGGGGATGGCGAGCGGCGAGAGGATGGCGCCAGATGAGCGGGGATCCTTACCTGGCGAGCAGCGTCCATCGGCGTCACAGTGCCGCTCGTCCAAGCCGGACTGACGACACCCGGATCAGGCCGGGCTCCGCCACCGGCGCCGCGCACTCGAACCGGAACCGCTGCTGGCGGCCATCGCTGCCGTTGGCCGCCAGCCACGGCGTCCAGCCGGTGAGCCGGCGCTGCTCGGCGCACGGCTGCGCGCCGCACGCGCCCGTACTCCAGGTCGCAGCCGAGGCACGGCCGGCCGCTCGTTGACGGGGCGCGGGCTGTCGCAGGCGCGCCGCCGCCGCCGGAAGCCGCCGCCGCAGCGCGCCGAGCAGCGGCCCCAGCTGCCCCAGCGCCCCCAGCCGCCGTTCCACCGGCAGGGTGGTCTCGGTGGGGCACGGCGGGTTTCGAGTGGCACATGATCTCCTGCGCATCGGCGCCGGTGCAGCCGCGGCCGCCGTGCACCGGCGACGGGTTGGCGCACGAGCGGCGCCGCGACTTGATGGCCACGCCGCACGGGTGTGAGCACGCCGACCAGGCCGACCAGCCGGTCCAGCCGCCGTGGCGCGTGCAATTTGTGACCTGGGCGGCGAGGCCGGCGCACTGCGCGCCGCCGCGCGCCCCGTCGGGTCGAGCAGGCGCGCCGCCGGCACAGGCACGGCTCGCCGGCGTCCTCGCCCTCGACCACCTGCCGGCACTGGCGCCATGCGCTCCAGGCGCTCCAGCCGCCGTCGACGGGTCGGCTGAGGTCGGGGCACTGTGTCACCGGCTGCCGCCAGGAGGGTGCGTCCGGACTGCGGCCGGGTGGCGGGCTGCAGAGGGCGCGCGCCGCGTCCCAGCCGCAGTACGGGTCCATGGCGCCCAGGCAGCTGGTCTCGCTCCGGTACCGCTCGCAGCGCTGCACCGGCACACGCACCAGCGCCGAGTCCGTGCCCAGGTACAAAGAGCCCTGTGGGAGAGGAGGGCCGGTCAAGACGTGGAACAATACCAGGCCTGTTCGCGCCCCCCCCCCCCTCCTTATACCCCCCCGGACAGGGCTTAGCGGGGTCACAGGACCGGACAGCAAATGCATCAGGATATAGGCTATACCCAGATGCACCGCTGTGACGGGGAGCGGGATGACATGCACAACAAACACTAGTTTTCAGTCCATGCTTATGCCTTGGTAATGCACGCCTTGACACCCCAGGAAGTTGAACGCAATATCATTCCGCGGACAGCTCGGTAAATACCCTCAAAACCGAACGGGTTCGCGCACGTTTATCCATTTCATTTGCAGCGGCTGAAGTCGACACTGGCGCCAAGTTTCTGAACACAAACGCCGTTGGAACACCCTGGGACACTCACCGCCTCGCTCAGCAGCCTCATGGTGAGGATGGTGGTGGGCGCCGCGAACGGCTGCAGCACCTCCAGCAGGCACGTCTGCCGCGAGCGCGGCACCACGCTCAGCTTCCTGATGGTGCCGGCCGTGTCCGCCACGAACAGCACGTGCACCGACACGTGGTGCTTGGTGGTGATGATGTCAGTGGCGACAGCCGTCAGTCTGCGCCGCGGGATGCAGGACACGGTCAAGACACGGGACGGGGAAGAGTTTGATGTGCGCCGATAGAGCGGCGCCAACAGTCCTTTGTTGATGAGAGGCTGTGTGTTTTGAAGGCGCCACCTAAAACCAACCTCATGTGACGTCACAACCATTTTGCGAGGAGCGTATGCTGGGTACATCTTGTGACACACCAGATGTGCACTATGATTGAAGGCTGTTGAAAAATGTTGCAAGTCTAAACGATGGTTTGACATAACCAGTCATGTACTGTATCAGCGCATTGCCCCCAACATCCCTGGCAGCAGACACTTCTAAAATGCACACACGCCATTGATTAATACTGACCACCTTTCAAGCATCGCACTGCATTTGAAGTTTTGAAAAAATACGCAGTA